GATTCATCTTTATGCTGTCAAATATGCTGCAAATCTTATTTCGGTCCTCATTGGAAAAAAATAACTCTAGCAGCGTATCCCTATATAGGTGACTTCATATATCCTGCTAGCTCACAGGCCCTCTTAAAGTCTGCGCTACAAGGATGAGAGAAGTTTCACACACCTATAAATAGAGAGAGTGTTTTTGCCAAATTAAATATTTACATTTTTGAGAAAAACTGGAATTGTATGCCTGCAATAAGTAAGGAATAAAACACTCAGAGGCATGATGTTATAGGAAAATAATCAGTGATCAAGCAGTGTGATGCAAGTGATTTAGTCCTTCTATACCACAGAAATTTGATAACAATTACAAGTTTTGATTTATTAAACAATGACATATTGCTACTTTCACTTGCATTATAGCAGCTACAAACAGTCATTCCCTCCCTGAAGTTAATTTGACAAAAATTGTAGCTTGTTACAAAGTGCTGACACTGGAGACTCCTTCCATAAATGTTAAATAAATGTCTCCTCCAAGAAAACATCACCATATCAATGATTATTCTTTGTTAAATAACAAAGACGCTTAGATTATTTTGGAAGTCCTCCATACAGGTCACTGTGTAAGCTGCTGTTATAGAAAATGAATCAACACCTTCTGACCAATCAGAATCCAGAATTCAAAAGTGTTGTGGTATAAGTTCAATTACTGGGCTCTAAGCTTCGGTGTTAGGGTAAAGGTTAGGGAAAGAATTGTTAATGGTAGTTTGTACTACCATTAAAATGGAAAAGATGTAAAGTCTAATTTTAGTTTTTCATAGTGTGATTGATGTAGAGTTTGTATTAAGCCACTCAGCTATGCAGAAGATCATTTGTGACGACGTGCCACACTGAAATGCAACACCTTCACCACATTGCTCTTATGTTGCTTGATCTCGCCAGCATTGCTTTTGTAAGAATTTAATGCTCAATACTTGGCAGAAGTGAATGTAATTCCTTGTTGTGTTGCATTCCACTTTCAGTAGTGCATTAAAATAGTGCCACAATAAAAAATAAAAAAAATCACAGCCCTAAGCCTAACCCTTAATCAGCATGCTTTTTAAGTCTTTTTAAAAGTGATCATATGTCTAAAAATATTTATACCTCACAGCAGGATATGAGAGTTAGGTTATCAAATTTCTTTCAGTAAAAGTTAGCTATCAGATCAGCTAGCTGAATTATCTTATTTAGCTTACTGTCTGGTAGTGGGAGCAGCCAACAGGGTGGAAAAGTGATGTCTACAGGCAAGGACATTCATCCTGCATCTGTTTTCGTTTCGCACCCTGTCTGGGTCTGTGTGTGTCTGTGTGTGTATGTGTGTGTGCACTGATTCCCATTTGGGCAACACAAGAATGCAGAATTCAGGAGGAATAAGTAAACATGTAAGAAGAGAATACACAGTGAAAGCTAGAAAACAAATAGCGTGGTAGCTAGGTCTGGACTGAATGGGAACAGTGAAGTGTGTGTGTTTGTGTGTGTGTGTGTGTGTGTGTGTGTGAGAGAGTGTGTGTGTGAGAGAGAGTGTGTGTTTTGTGTATATTTGGCTACCCTGGATTTGAATGGTTCACTTTCGCATACACAAAAGTGTATTTAGTATCTGCTTGTTTATTCTACTTGTGTAATTCAAGTGTCATTGTTTGCTGAGAAAGAACACTGAACAAAGTGTGTGTGTGTGTGTGTGTGTGTGTGCATGCATTATTCATATTTGCATAAATGTATATAACAGGTTTCACATTGCCATTGCATTGATTTCTGGACATTTGTTTTAGTGTTTTGCTGAAATATTAAAGTCTTGAAAACACCAGATTTTACATAAATACTACTCTAATTGGAATCTGGCTCTGTCACATGATATGATCAAACACCAAGTGGTAGTTTTCCAGTAAATAGAAAACGAACTCTTGATACTGGCAGTATCACAGAAAATTCTGAGATAATTTGAATCAGCAAGGGGGATAAATCAGCAGTTGTTTGAAAAGTGTTTGGAAACTGAAATTCAGTCTTACACCAAATTCTCACAAGATTATCCATGTTCAAAGCCAACCATGTCAAATGAACATATACAGACCCAGTCTAAACCACAAGAGGTTCATACTCACTCTGTTGTGTTATTTTAACCACTGATTTTACTACACACATCTATTTGCCTGTCATGAAATCTAATGTGTGACTCTTATTTATCCTTCAGGAACCCATGCCTTTGGCTGTGTGAGAAGTGTTGGCTTATGCAACGAAGGAACAGTGGGACAATCTGGTGCCCAGAAGTCTGAAAAGTGTGTACGTGTGTGTACAGAGCATGAGGTCTGACCAGCTGTAGGAGAAAAGAGATTTACAAAGTAAGAACTGAAGGAGTGTTGAATAACATCCTATGAACGTGCCTGGTGGAATACTGAGGATCGCTCACTTTATAACATGTGGGCGGACATAGAGGTGCTTTTCCTTGACCTACACTTTTTCCCTCAGCACTGACAGGCTCACTTTAACCATCACTTTCTGGGGGGGGGGGTGTCCCCTGGTATAACCCCCCAGCAACTGGGATATAAAGAGGAAACGAGAAAGTTGGTGAACCAGGGTTAGAGTCGGTCTTCTCACAGAATGTTCTGGTAGGGATAAACGCCAGTTTGTAATAGTTGATCACTAAGAAAAAACACTAACTGTTGAACTTGGATCATGCAAGTAGCCTAAATCCACTTGGCAAGTTATTAGGCCTGCCTCTTCTCTTCGGACTGGGGTGGCGCCACCAAAATTGGCCATTTTTCCTTGACTTGTGCTTTGCGCTTCTTTCTAAACATCACCTCGGGACTTTGTCTACCTTTTGCTTTGTGGTTGCTTTCTTTACTTTCTGGGTGTTGTGGAGTGTGTGTGTGTGTGTGTTTTTTAATAACCCATAATTGACCATGGGGTGCCGGCAGAGTTCGGAGGAAAAAGAGGCAGCCAGGCGCTCACGGCGCATCGACCGGCACCTTCGCTCAGAGAGCCAGCGACAGAGACGCGAGATCAAACTGCTGCTCCTCGGTACCAGCAACTCGGGCAAGAGCACCATCGTCAAGCAAATGAAGATTATCCACAGTGGTGGGTTCAACCTTGAAGCCTGCAAGGAATACAAACCACTGATCCTTTACAATGCCATCGATTCGCTCACACGCATCATCCGAGCTCTCGCCACGCTCAAGATCGACTTCCACAACCCTGACCGGGCCTACGACGCTGTCCAACTCTTCGCCCTCACGGGTCCTGCTGAGAGCAAAGGGGAGATCACACCCGAGCTTCTTGGCGTGATGAAACGCTTGTGGGGTGATTCGGGAGTTCAGGAGTGTTTCCAGCGCTCCAACGAGTATCACCTTGAGGACAACACTGCCTACTACCTGAACGACCTGGACAGAATCTCGGCACCCGAGTACATCCCGACTGTGGAGGACATCCTGCGTTCCCGTGACATGACCACCGGCATCGTGGAGAACAAGTTTACCTTCAAAGAGCTCACCTTCAAGATGGTGGACGTGGGTGGGCAGCGCTCAGAGAGAAAGAAGTGGATCCACTGCTTCGAGGGCGTAACTGCGATTATATTCTGCGTGGAGCTGAGTGGCTACGACCTCAAGCTTTATGAAGACAACCAGACGGTAAGAACATGTTCAAATTATGTTATGCCAAATTCTAGGTGTAGTGTTACAAATTGATCTGGGTTGCAATCCAGTAAAGTTAGTCAACAGGCCTTAAGTCTTGCGATGGGTTTGGATAAAACCACACGGGGGAATCAGAGAGGGTACATAAGATAATGCAAACACGGTCGCACGAGCCTGACATTATCAGCGATCTGCTATGTTATCATAGTAAATCTATCCTGCTGCTCACCCACAATACTCCAGCTTCTTTATTTCATACTTCCTGTTCACAGCATTCTGCTCTCACGCTCACGACTCTTATGAGAGCCGACAATAGTATGCCTGGTCTCTGCTAATAATTTTCAGATGATATTTACATTGGCCAAGCTGATCTGATATGGTGGGATTACTCTGTGGTTAAATAAAGGTGTATTGACTGATCATGGTCCTCCTAGTTCTTTCGCTCATTTTTGAAGATGGTTATCCCGAGATTTCTTTGTTCCTTGACAAGAAATCCATAGTATCTTGTTAGCGTGGAATATCAATTAGTGTTTGGGAGTTAAAAATAAGTGTTCTGTGAGTCACAAGGGGGGAATATGTACAAGAGTGATAATTGAGTTCACAGTGCAAAGTGTTAAGGTGTACCTGCGAGACTTAGCAGCTTTGGCACTGTGGGAAATTGCAGATGTGAAAAGTTTTCAATGTCCTGCTCTGTTTGAGAAAGCAGGGAAAGTTGAGAGACGGCCGGAAATTAAATTCGACGATCAGAGAGAGGGATGGTGGGAAAGCCGGCAGTTTTCCTTCGAAAGCTCTTTCGCACTCAGTGTTCTTATCTCTCAGTTAAATGCTGGCTCAAACCGTCTTCAAATGTGAGTCATAAGTGTTAATCTAAATCTGGTCTACGAGTGCACAGTGTAGCTACAGGCTTTTTCACAAGTATATTAACACAAATGATTCATCACCTCTTTTAAAATTGAAGTGGAACATGAGCTGTTTAATGTATTTGACTGTCTTGTGAATATCTGGATTGTTTGAGAAGTAATATGATCTACAGTCCGTGGCTTATACGTTATATGCTTCCAATTTTGTGTTCATAAATCCTGAAGCGAGCAGTTAGATGAGAGTGTTGCATGGCCTGAGGCAGGGAATGATAATTGACCAAAACTGACATTTAATTTGTTCGGTTGACATTATTTCTGAAACATTCCTTATTGTATACAGTTTCATTGTAGCTGGATTGTTAAAGTTTAAGTCTCTAAGCTCAGGTGCTGTTGCCTTCTTCTTGTCTTTGGCAGTGAGCAGTCAATCAGAGCCAGCGTTTTAAACATTCAATGAAAACAGAAGAGGCGGGGCTTATTGCACCGTCGGTAAAAGCATGGCAGGGTTGGGATTTGAACTCCAAACTTTCCAGTCAGTATCAGCCCAATGCCTTAACCACTGAGCTACCACTGCACATGGTTACTCACTGTCTGCGTGGGTTCCTCTGGGTTATCTTGTTTCCTCCCATCTCCCAAAAACATGCCAGTAGGTGGACTGTCTCTGCTAAATTGTTCCGTTGTGAATGAGTGTGTGAATGTGTGTGCATGGTGCCCTGGTGTGCACTGACATTCTATTCAGGGTGTATTCCCGTGCTTCGGGGATAAGCTTCAGATCCATTACCATGCAAGCTTTCTGATGATGAATGCACTAATTATCGGCACATTATCATTATCAAGGTATTTTACAAATATACAGTTTTTGTCACAATTATAATACAATTTATAATATATGCGTAACAGTAGTTATGCACATACAAATACAATACTGGACAATAGACAATATGCTAATGTAAATAAATAATATATGATTCTGTAATACTGTACCAAATCTTTTTAGCCATAGTGTGAAAGTGACAATTCCACTAAACGTTACAGTGGTCCATTGCAAAACATATGAACTATAGTTACAGATAGTTCACAGATCAAAAACCACTGAGTGAGTAGAATGATTAAAATATGATGGTAAACATTAAAACCGTGTTTATATACTACACAATACGTACTGTATATGATTGAGGAAAAAATCACAAATAATTAATATAAGGTGATTATATAATAATTGTCACAAGCCTATTCGGAATATATTTTTCATATCACTTAGTTCTTCTGTATAGGTGGGATCTAGAAAAAGGTCCTTAATTGTTGAACTTTAGGCTTTATTCTTTAGATATAACCATTTAACTGTGTTAGTTTAGACCACAGCCATAAAAAGTATATTGTGAAGGGTTCATAATAGGGTTGTGCGACGATTTAAAGATTAAAACTCAGTTCTTGTCTCCTGAATTGCTTCCTAGGGTTTGTTGCAGGCTAAGAGATCTTCCTAACACAGCAAATAATGAGATTATTGAAGGACTTCTGGAGCTGTTATTTGCGCTAACGCTGTGGGCTAGTGGATCAACACTTCATTACCCGTGCGAGTGTTTAGCCTGAGAAGAGATTTGGGTAAAACTGGCATTGTAAATTAAAGAAATGCCATGGTCAGAGAGCTGGCAGGTGTAAATTGATACAATGAGACATGAAGTTGTGATGAAAAAATATGTATATATATATATATATATATATATATATATAATACATAAGTAAAAGCAAGCTTTAAATATCTGGCAGAACCTTTCCACTGGGACAATAATTATAATTTAATGATGCATGTACTCTTCTGTCTCAGTCACACCACACATCCTTTTTTCGATCCTCTACGTTTTGTTGACCCATCCCTCCTATACGAAAAAAAGAGGAGCGGGTCGTCATAGCAACTGTTGCCTAGCAACAGGGTAGTCCAACGCTCTTAATCCCAGGCTGTTGACAATGAGCTGTTACGGAGGGAAAGAGGAGGATGGGCTGAGAGAGAGAGAGAAAGAGAGAGGGAGAGATGAAGAGGAAAGGATGTATGGGCTGGAAGTGAGATAGAGAATGAGTGTGTGTGTGTGTGTGTGTGTGTGTGTGTGTGTGTGTGTGTGTGCGACAGGCAGGCAGGATGTGCCCGTGTGGACTTGGGCAGGGCCGAAAGGGAGCTGCATTGCGCAACCCAGCCGGGGGGTGGGGGGTGGGGGTGTAGGGAAAGAGAGAGAGAGACTTCTTGGATCTGGGTCATGGGAGAAAAGCAAGCAGGCATCTCAGGAGGCCACGTTTGGCTTTGATACTTGCTTCAGTCACGGAAGACCACTGGCTACAAAGCATCTTTTCTCTTCTTACCTAATAAACGACAGCTGCTTATTATCATCCTCAGTCGGGACGAGTTTTCCGAGCTCAATCCTGCTTTGTTTTTTCCGTTAGTCCTGTCTCGTTTTCAGGATGATGGCTAGACCTCAAACTCCTGACCTACATTCAAAGATTTGCGGTAATGACGCTTATGTAATATTCGCTGTCGGCTATAATTTCCTGCTTCGATTTACACATGGCCAAGACTTGACAATCTGTGGAGAAAGTTCAAGATGTACAGTAGCTCAGGGCAGAGTTGCGCTAACTTCATTGTGCCATTTGATTTTTCAGTTGCAAAAGCCTACCAGGCTCCAAACAGCTCAAGTGGGTTATGGTTTATTTAAAAAAAAATAAAAGGGGTCAAAAGCTCTTGTAGAAAAAAAATAATACAACACAAGCCATTTAGTGCTGCTGTGCTATTTGTAAGCAGAATGTTTTTGCACAGTGTTGAGGGAATGACACACACCATGTGACATAGCATACAGCAATAATATCACATCATAACACAAAATACTCAAATAAATTATACTTGAAGACATTTTTCATACTGTTTCCTATAAAAGCTCACACAGAACAGCAGTTCACCATTTTACAAGCCTTTTGAAAACATGTTACATGAGTATATTTAGGTTTTTTTATTTTATATTTTATGTGTATTTTTGTTTTATTTTATATCTACAAAAATAGGACAAAAAGGAATTTAAAATCCAATTAGCTATGTAGTACTGACAATATCCACAATATTCATAGAGAAATGTGTATAATATTTATATAATATTTTTTCGTACAAAGTATATAAAGCTTCCACAATTAATGTCAATGAAACAGTGAGGAGTGAGAGAACAGCTCAGTGTGTGCTGTACAGGGATACCAGGCGAGTCAGACAAACTGCTTATGGCTCTCTTTCCTTTTAAGGCAAAGATAAACCTCGTCGTTGTTGGACGCACGTAATCAGCAGGACGGCATATTTTTATAAACACTTACTAGATTTACGCTGCATGAATGGACTCACAAACATGGCTGTATTTTAGAATAGAGACAAAGAGAGTCAGAAAGAGCAAAAAGAAGACAAGTTTGGCATTTAATATACCAGGTTTAAAAAAAAAACCCAATATATTAGAAAATGCATTTAGTGGAAGGATTCTGCCTCAGTTAATGAATAAATGTGAATTAGAAGTAGAGCTGAGTTAGAGCTGAAGATTGTGAATGTTTGCATATTTATGATTATGATTTAAAGACCCTCTCAGAAATCCTGTCAGGTTAGCTAATTTTAGCAGGCTAGATAGTGTTAGAGCTGAAGATTGTGCGTATTTATGATTATGAATTAAATAACTCTCAGAAATCCTGTCAGGTTAGCTAATTTTAGCAGGCTAGATAGTGTTAGAGCTGAAGATTGTGCGTATTTATGATTATGAATTAAATAACTCTCAGAAATCCTGTCAGGTTAGCTAATTTTAGCAGGCTACATAGAGGTAAAGGTGTAGATTGTGAACATTTATAAATATTATTTACAAACCCCCTCAGAAATCCTGTCAGGTTAGCTAACTTTTGCATGGTAGATAGTGTTACATATAGATTGTGAACATTTATGAATATTAATTACAAACCCTCTCAGAAATCCTGTCAGGTTAGCTAGTTTTAGCAGGATACATAACATTAAAGCTAAAGATGGGGAACATTTACGAATAAAAATGAAAAAGCCTCTCAGAAATCATAAGGCTAGCTAAATTTTTAGCATGCTATGTAGTGTTGGAAATCTATCTACACAGAAATCTTGTCAGGTTATCCCATATTTGCAATCTATCTAGCACTAGCAGTGAAGTTTAAAACTATTAAACAGACATCTCAAGTTAGCTGTTACCATATGTTAGCCACATAGCTAGTGTTAGCAATGAAGATTTAGAAGTATGACTCAAAAAGACTCTCAGAAATCCTGTCACATTAGCATATTTTAGCCAGATAGCAAATGTTAGCAATAAACATGTATAAGTATGTTTATAAGTATAAAATAATAATAAAATAAGCTGCCTCACAAATCCTGTTCAGCTCATTTTCACTAGCTAGTATCATGAGAATAAACCTTTTCTTAAAAATGGACACTGAGAGAAAACAATTTGTTCTGTTTTACACAAAATTATGATTGTGCTCAAAGGTTTTCTCTTGTCATGTTAGCCTTAGCTAGCAGTGAAAATGCTTTTAGTAGGCTGTCAGATTGGTTTACTGCAGCAGATTTATGTTAGCAGTGAAGATTATGAACATTAATAACTATGACTTTTTCTGTTTTTAGCATGTTTGCTCCTTTAAATTTTAAAACCCACGGACCTATTATCCAGTAACTTCATGCAAAAAAGGATTAAGCTAATATTGCGTTACTAGGGCGAGGGGCAGAAATGTGGAACTGTCCACAGTTTCTTGGAATTTAGGAGGGTGAGCTCTTACACAATATTAGTTTCATTAGTTTTATCAGAGTGATCTTTAAGTAACACAGTCTTCTCGAGATGGAGGGTAACGAGCATTGGATGTGCAGACGGAGATTAAGAAATACCAAACAGTTCGATCATTAACAGGTGCAGTGTAAGACACACTATCTCTCTAGAAATCCCCTCGAGTCATTTATATTGAACTTAAGACGATTGGATTTTTCCGACAGCCGGGGCGTCGCCTCACACAGGATACCCGTCTTTATTGGAAACAAAGATTGAGCATGCTGCTGAAGTGCTTCATTATTTCTTAATTAACACCTGTGTGTGTGTGGAGTGCTGGTGGGGGGGGACAGAAAGCATCCCGGGGGGTGTGCTTCCACCACATACATCCTTTCCTCCTCATCTCTCTCTCTCTCTCTCTCTGTCATTCCCTCCTGTATTTCTGCTGTTGTGACTTTGGACATGATGGAGATTAGAGAAATCCCCTTGTTGATTTTGGAGGGATCCTAACAAGTCCCCTAGACACCCCAAGATTTGGTATGGGGTGGTGTGATGTGGAACTGAGCTCTCTCTGAGGGGCTCCTTCATCTGGGTGGGTCTCTCACCAGCTCAGACATGACAACACACACACTCACACACACACACACACACACACACACACACACACACACACTCACACACACACACAGAGCCTAGCATAGATTTCTGTGTGCAACCCCTCCCACTTTCCCTTTACCAACAGTAACTCAACCCATTTTCCCAGAAGTGTGTGATGTGCTCTTTCGAGAAGAAC